AATATTCTAGTATTTGAGGCAATTTTATCTTTCATTGTAAACTGAATTGACATTTAGTCTCAAAATTTGGTATAATTTTACTCTTTCACAAAGTGATAAGATGACCAAAAAATAATCAGATTGAATGCATGAGCCTTCTGACAAGATCCTTCTAACCAAGCCTTTCCATGCTGGCAAGTTCTATGTAGCCAAGTTGAGAGTTTTCCAGTAATGGGACTCTTATTTGTGCCAATTAAATCAATCTTCCTTTCATGATTCTTTTACTGCGTAGAAACTGCATTCCCTCTAGAGAGCAGAAAAAAATGATTACATTCTCTTTCTTCTATTGCTTGATCTTTTAAACATTTGCCAGTGTAAGTCATTCAGTTAATTCATGTATGAAGATGAGTTCATCATTCTTCAGTCAGTCAGTCAGTCAGTCAGGGTAGTATCCAGAGACTCTAAGTGACAAGCTTTATTCTGTTAGATGTAGAAAAGTTAGGGATACGGACCTCAGTCTAGTGGACAAAACAAAAAATAATTTTATAACAGTTTGGTAGACTGGTGGTGAAAAATCTGATAAAAGTAATTTTCCCTCACTAGGGATTGATGGTAGAGAAGTGAGAGTGAAGAGAAACAAGAAATTTCACACAGAGACCAAAGTTTCAGAAATAACTAAGAGTAAGATTTATCTGGAAAAATGTAAACTGTTACATTAAAAAAAATCCTATACACATAGGGGAGCAGAATTTCTCAGTAGGTTGGCCTGGAGAGGTAAGCAGAGATTAGTGGACCTTATTTAGTGTAGGAATCTATTAGCAGAAGTATCCCTATGGAAATCCCCCATCATTGTTATCTATTCTGCTTGTAACTATGTACAGCAGGGATGAATAAACTGTTTCTGAAAGGATAAATAGCAAGTGCTTGATCTGCATGCTACCAGTCTTTTTCAGAGCTACTCAACTCTGCTTTTGTAGACTGAATGCAGCTATTGACAATACATTAACCTGAAGGCATGCTTGAATTCCCTAAAATTTTATTTACAGAATGGAGATCAGGTTGGAATTGGCCTCCAGGACATACTTGCTCACCACTAATCTAGAAGATTTTCTCCTTAAATAGTAGAAAATTGTCTTTGGAAATAATAAAGATTAACCAACCTCACTCCTAAAACTACAGGGGAAGTCTTTATCTGCAGAAATTTATCAAAGTTGATTCATATTTTCTCTTTGACAGGGATCAATTTTAAATGGGAAATCTGTAAAAATGCACATAAACTTCATTAATATCACTGATAATATATTCACCACATTGCTCACTACAAGATAGGAATCTAGGGGGCTGGAGGTTTAGCTCAGCAGCATTAGCACCTGCCTTACAAGCGCGTGGTCATGAGTTTGATCCCCAGTACCGATAAAAAAAAAGAAATAGAAATCTAAGAATTTTTTGCACTTGCAAACATGACAACTCCATTTGTACCAAATTTTGAGTATGCACTGTTTCACCTAACCTTCATAATAACTATATGAACCTTGGCGGAAAGATATGCTGTTTTACTCAAATTATTTCCAGGATGCAGAAAAACATATAGTACAAAGAACTGTGGTCACATGAGTAATGAGATATCATTTTCTCCTTTTAATTGTTGAAACTTTAGGGTCCACAAAGATAAAATAGTTGGAAAATGTTTAACAATGTAATAGGAGGAACTAAAATCTAGATTATCTGAATTTGAAATTTTAACTTCAATTATATTCTATAGTTACCGATATGAAAAAAGAATGTTCTAGAACTCAAAACTTCATATAATGAATATTGGGTATATACATTAAGATATTAAAATACTGATGTCATCTATAGAATGGACTAAAGGTTTCATTTTTTTTCTAAACATCCCTCAAGGAACTGCCTACTTACCCTCCCCCCCAGCAGTACCACAGTTACACAAGTGAACTAGTCTATAGATGGCACCTGGCCCAATCCATGCCATAGAAGGACTTGCCTGTATGTTGTGAAAGTGTTGTTAAGAAAGAGACTGCAAAGTCCAAACCTAGGAGTCAGTAGCAGCATTTCATCATGTGAACTAGAACAAAAAAGAACAATGAAGCAACCTACAGAAAATCTTGCATGAAAGTCAGAGAATGCTGAGATTTGTCATTATTTGGCTATTCCAGATACTTAAAGATGATCTTCTCTCTTACATATTCAAGACAAACCCTGAGCCTTAAAATATATTATCATTTACATTTTGGTTTAAGTTATTTTGGTTTATGTTTGTCTTTTGGTTAATTAAAATTTATAATTAGTATAGAATCACTCAAAATGAACATTGTCATAAACCATCCACGATGGTGCACACCTGTAACCCTAGCACTTGGAGGTCTGGGAAAAGAGGATCACAAGTTCAAGGTCAGCGTGAACTACACTGTGAGACAGTGTGTGGTTATGGAGAGAAAGGCACATAGTGCTTGTCTGCATTTGTCTGATTTGAACCTAGAAAAATTCTGTATTTACAAAATAAAAATTAGAACATGTACCCATATTATGAAATCTATAAGTTAAAGACAAAAATTTCCAAATGAAAATGTATGAGTAAACATGAGAACCTCAAATCACATTAGTTTAATCCATATGATATCATATAAAGTCAGAATAAATTATAATCTGCAATCTTACAGATAAAATGCTATGACAGGTTTTGTGAAATATGATGAGTAAGGTTGATAACAAGATGAATTTTCTCCATCATCAAAACATAACAGCTCACTGGCTTAAATGAGTGTCGATGCCAAATGAGTGTTGACTTGTTGCCTCTTTCGCCTGTATTAATTCAAAGAATGTTAAGGATTAGCAGTGTGTGATCACTCAGTTCTTTTGTAGTTTAAAAATATTCCAGGTTACAGATACGCACAGACATATTCAAACATGCTTGCCCCTAAAGAATTTAAGGAGACAGACTGATTCCCTCTCAGAATTCCATGAGCAGAGGGGAGTTTGGAAAAAACTTATAGTCATTCATTTTGCCATAAATGATTATACAAGGATCAGTCAGTAACTGTTAACATTCTCCCCTGAAATACAATCTTAGTACTTCACAAAGCATCTGCAGCACCTGGGAATTTGTTAAAAATGAAAATGATATCTCTCAAGAACTACTAAGTTAGAAACTCTGAATTTGGGCCAACAATTTATGATTCTGCTAAATACCAGTTTGACAGCTTCTGCTAGAGGACAAATAAGGCTCATTAATGACATTTTGGGAAGCATAAGAGAGAAATGATGCACAATGAGAATGTTTGCATTCATTTTTTTGGGCAATGGGACAACCAGGCTAACATAGTCAAGTGTATAACCTGACTATTTTCTCATAGCATGCATGATCACTATATTATGCTTGCATATATTATACTTGGGAAGTGAAACATTTGAGCACTATACTGGTTAATGAATTATGACCTCAATGCTGCAAAACTTTACACAATCCATTTTTAGACTATTTTTTCTCATTTTCTTAGGCTATTACAGTAAATGATTGGGTCACTCAGATGTCTTATTCAGTGACTGCACTGAATACTTTTAGCAAAATATTCCTATTTTTAAAGTGATTCTCACTTGCACTTACTAAGATATGTCCTCTACACTTTGGCACTGATTAATTTAATATTTAGCACTAATTATATTTTGGAACAATCATGAAAATAATTATAATATTTATTAACATGCTACTTTTATGTTTCTAAGTGACTGCATTTTGTTATAGGAAAATTGTCAGTTTTCTTTAAATGTCATTGAATTTCTGGCTCAAATAAAATTTATACAAATTGAGGAAACATTGATTTCAATTGAGTTATGAAAATTCATACCCCAAAACTCCACTTTCACTTGAGAGAAATATTTTTATTTGGTAATTACCTCTTGCTTTTCAATAATACATTGTTCCTCAGACTTCTATTTGAAAATACATATTTAAATAGAACTGTATCTATTGTTTGGCTTTGGTGATTATTTATTTCTACTTGGTGCTAGGTTTTCAGAACTATTTTCATCCTGCACTTCAATCTATTCTTCACCCAAATAATTTTATAGACAAAGATTCATGGGAATGATATGGGCTATTAAAAGAACTTAGTTAATCAAATATAGTTTTATAATAGCAGTTGTACATTTTTATTTATCTGTTCCTACATTCAAAATGTGTATATTGACTTTGGAAAATAATAATTTCATATTTATGCAAATCTTTCTGTAGCATGAGCAAGATTTTATAAAAGTTTAATATATACATATACATAAATTCATTAGATATTACAGAACAAAAATTTATAATTATAAACTTTATATATCTTTGTAATTCTTAGTGCTTTAGTCATTTTTAAAAGTAATTGAAAATTTTTGTTTTTTTTTAACTCTTTAATTTTTTTCATTCCCCTTCAAAAGAACTTTGGGGGAGAATTCAGGGTCCACATAATGAGGACCACCCTTGTCATTTGTAAAAAAAAAAAATTTCTCATTGTAATCATCTGTTTCTTTTAGCATAAGATAGCAAATTTGTTGATATTAATTTTTGTTTATCTTGTCATAAAATATGTGGTCATTATCTCTGAAAGAATGAATTGTATTAACTTTGTAGGTTAGTTGGTCAGAAAATTAATGAATCTCTTCATTATGAATTTTTAAACAGTATGAGAAATCTATATAACTTTAAAGAACTCGTCGCTGTTGCATGTTTAGGTCATTAGAATCTTCCCAAAGTTCTCAGATGTATAACAAATGTTAACATATTTTGCCCTTCAGTTTTTATGAATGCAATTTTTGCAGTTAAAACTCTTTATCCAAGAGGTGGGGCTAGAAAGTTTAGTATTTATTCCAAGAGCTCAACTTACTGAAAAATGGGGAAAAAAATAAATGCTGTTTTAAAGAAAAAAAGATTATTGTGGCTGTGTGTGTGTGTGTGTGTGTGTGTGTGTGTGTGTGTGTGTAAACAATTATTCCATGTATTTATCTACTGATTGATTTTACAGATCTGCCTAACGTAGTTCGACTGGTTAATGGCAAAGTGCCTCATGAAGGTAGGGTGGAGATCTTCCACGAGGGCATCTGGGGCACCATTTGTGATGATCGCTGGGAAATAAGAGTTGCAACTGTCATCTGTCGAAGTTTGGGATACAAAGGTGCTAAAGCCGTGCACAAAGCAGCTTATTTTGGGCAAGGTAATGTAAAGAAAATTTTGCTTTTAAAAAAAGTAAAGAAATATAGAGAATCTCTAATGAGATGAACTTAGTATAGACAGGAGTATGTAAAGTAGTAGAAATTTCCTGTAGGGTTATTTTAATGCTCTTTCCTAGAAAGAAGAAATAAAAAGAGAAATATTATGAAAATGATATGTGCTCTCTGACAATCTGCAATTTTAAAATTTCATTCAGACTCATTTAGCTAGTGAATGTTGATGCAGAGGCAGGCAGATAAATAGAGACAAGTGAGTTACTGTCAACGCACTGACACATCCTGAGTGGCTCAGTTTACACCACTGGGTGAGGAATGCAACTGAGCAATCTATGTGATCACCAGTGTTTTTTCTTCTGTGGAACTGGAGAGGAAGGTGCCAAACTCCATTTTTACATCCCCATGAGGTCTGCCAGACAGGAATACACCGCTCATCCTCCCTAGAGCTCCTGTATACGCTAAGGACAACGACAAAACAGGAAAGGGAAACAAGCAGTGGCTTTCTGTGCTTGCTATGTCTGGCTGTTGCTTTCTCAGGAGAGGACTGAGGAAAGCAAAACGTTACTTTCCCCTCATTTTGAGGTTGTCCAAACATTTAGTAATTCTTTAGGTGCATGTGCATTTGTGTGTATTCACTTCAAAGATTCAGTAACCTGTTCTATGAGTGAATGAAAGGATTGAAAGAGAATTTGCAGGGAGAAAATATTTAAATGTATCTCCATGAAATTTTTACTATGAAATTTTTCTAAATTGCTATATTAAAATAGGTCTTATATGTAGTTAAATATATACTTCAATTCTGAGTGAGGAAGAGATTAGATAAGAGTAGCTTTTAATCACTATTTCCTGCTTATATTACTCAGAAATCATAGTTTCTTTGAAGTATATGTTGACAAAAATTATCTTGATTTCCTAATTGTTGTCAATCTAGATAAATGTGAGAAAAGTGGCAAAATGGAGAGGAAATTGCATTTACAATTATAAAGATTAAATAGTAGCATTTTGGGGGGTAATCTTATCTATAAATAACATTTCCAAACAATCTTATTATAAATATTTATAAATAGGAAAGTATATCAAATCACCATATCAGAAGATTGGTGATGATATACATGTTTTTAAATGCCTAAAAGATAACTTATATTGTGCTACAAATTTGTGAAAAATGACTATAGGTTAAGCATTATGTTAATACCCAAATAATATTGATTATAGGTCCCACTTCTATCCTTTGCTCCTTTATCTAAATGAATTTTGGTATCAGATATAAGGCATAGATCTCAGCAGGGATTCAGGGATATAACATTGTTAGAGGCATGAAGATTTGGAAATTTCATGAAGAGACTGGACATACAACAAAGCATTGATAATGTGTATCTGAACCTAGGCCACACTCTTAGAAGTTTCAAAATCGTCTCTGCTCATCACATCTTCCAGAGTTTATTCCCAAAATTGTGGGCCTAAAATCATGCTTTAAAATTTACCTCCCAAAGTGAGTTTTTTAAGGTTTGTAGGGACCTTAAAAGAATCCAATAATGCAGAAGTCACTTAGTTAAGACTGAGCTGCCAATCCAAGATCCTACAATGCTGCTTGGGGAAAGAATCCATTTCTATGATAACTGAAGTACACACAGTGAGGCTACTTATTTTAAGTACACATTGTACGAAACATTTCAAGTGATTATTAGCATCCATAAAATAGATTATCTGCAATTCTAGCAGAAGACATACAATTCTTACCTATGATATTTTATTCACCCGGTAAGTGGTAAAAACTTCTGTTTTAGAGTAATGGATAACTTAAGATTCTGAGAATATAATCTGGGTACAAAATAAAATACAGTGCTCATCAGTTATTCAGATAATTTGTCACAAGAGAAGAAAAATATCCTAAAATACCTTTAGTCCGGATGAGTTCTTTTATGGCTCACATCAGCCACAGAGTTGCATTTAGCTTGGTTTCTTTAAGAAACAAATTTGATGGTGCAGTTTATTAACCCTTAGATATTGAAAAATTTCATCTATTACAAAAAAGAAAACAAAATTCAGGGGAAAATAGTTTTTGTAATTTAATTCAGGGGAAGCCAATAAGCTTTTGCAAAATACAGCATGTAGTACCACAGCTTTATTTTTTCTCTGCTCATGAAGCTTTGCCATGGACTTCAAAGATCTTTTTCCTTGGAGTTCCTACATAGGTGGGAAATAATAGCTGGAAGTTCTTATCTTCAGAGTGCATTAACTGTTAAGGCCTACTCTCACAGAGAAATGTTCTTATTCAAAACTTTTTATTCATCCTCCTTATATCTCTAAAGATTTTTTATTTAAACCACTGATAAGGAAGAAAATATGTATTCTAAAATACTAACCAGAAAGTATTTTCTGTTTCACTAAGGAATGAAAAACTCTGGCTTAGCCTTGTGTGAAATGACTTACCCGTTATATGAAGACACATGGCTTAGGTTTTCTTGATATAACTGACTCCTTGTCTAGTATGCCTCTAATTTTATTGAGATTGTATGTTTATGATGGTGATCCTACACCTTGTCCCTATTTTCCTATAATGAAGTGTTAGAAAGTGTCAGTAGCATTATGGGAATTGTCCACTACCAAGTCCAGGCATTGCTCAATAGTGAAAGAGATCACAGCTAGGGGCTGGGGATTTAGCTCAGCGGCATAAGCGCCTGCCTTGCAAGCAGGCAGTCCCTGGTACCGATAAAAACGAAAAAGACCAAAAAAAAAAAAAAAAAAAAAAAGAAAGAGAGAGAGAGAGAGAGCACAGCTAGCAGCTAGTGAATGAGTAAAAGAAACATGCATCAGGATTTAATGCATTACAAGCTTATTTGCCATTCTCCTTGATGGAAGAGTCAGGAACACATTGTTGTAGTGACACGGATGATATTTCAAAGATCAGAAAAAGAAATGTGATTTTCCATTATATGGATGTGTGAAAGGAGTTCTCACACTCTCCTAACTCTACTCAATATTTACGCAGCTTGTTTCAGGTTTCTGCTTACAATTCAGTATCAAAGAACTGAAGAATGATTAGGAGGATTTTAAAAAATAAAGCAAGATGAGCTGGGGCAAAGAAATAATAGAACCAAGTCTATTCATTCTGAAAAACAAAGGTTTTTTAAAAAGCTAAATTTCATAGTCAGCTTCACTGGATATATTTTACGAGACAGGCTTAAAATGCAAGCTGCCTTGAGATTATATGTGGTAAACAGCCTTATATGTAAAGTTATGTAGACTCCTCCTTTTACTATTCCTCCAACTTTACAGTTTTACCCAAGAGATAAGGAAAATGCAATTTTGAAGGTGAAATATAGACAGAAAAAGAAAATTAGAAATATGAGTGAATGGGTAGTAATTATTTATTATTTTCTTAGGAAAAAATAAGAATGCGATTAATATTGTATGGTACATAATTACCAAAACTGAAACAAAAAGAGAAAAACCTAAAAGCATTCCTTTGGTATAATTCTGCATTACAGAAAGAATGTCATTTTTGGACACAATCTCAACACTCCCTCCCTTTTACTTTTCTGGTTTTAAAATAGCAAACCTGGCTTACCAGAGATAATCCATGTTAGCTTTAAGAACAATTAGTTTTGCAGCTGCAAGCAAAATGATTTATTGGAATAAAGCTTAAAGCACACTCCTTTAAATAGGTTCTTTCCTTCGGATGTATTTTTTTCATAAAGTGAAATGTTCTTTCTTTTTCCTGAGTAGCAAAAACCAGTTAAATTGAGGAAGTGCTGAGAGATACCTGGTGTTTGTCACTGCACGGCACAGCGAAGGGAGAGGAGTCGCTTTTCATTTCCTGTAAAGGCTTTCTTAACTCCTGTTCCAGGGTCTCTACCTACAGCACACACAGATGAGCTTTATGTGTCAGTGGTGACCTCCAGATAATCCATTCAGATGTTTCTGTGGATTCTAATGAGGAAAATACAAGCTGGACAGGGAGTAGCTATTTCATCTTCTCCTGAGTTCACAGCCAGTATTTCAGATTTTTACATGCTACTCTCTCCATACTGAAAGTTTTGAAATATAGATGTTTGGATGTTGGCTATTATGGAAGGGACTTTAAAGCTTAGAGAATTTATTACACATGTATTTTGTTATTTATGAGAATAAAGTTCTGAATGTAGCAAAATCAGTATTTATTATATGTCTATCATATCATCTTCAATACTGACAGTGTCTGTGAGAAAAAGATACCATAGCCTGAATGTTTCAGAGAAAAAGTAAGTACAGCTGGTGAAGGTCACAAACTTGCCTGAATTAATACAGCTAGTGTGGTGGTGAGGTGAGCACCTAAGTTCACATCTCAACCTGGGTCTCATAACACACTCTTCCCACAGACAGAATATCTTTCTGAATACTTGACCCTTAAGCAATTTGTTATTTTAAAATCTTGATTCTTTAAAATTGCTAAAAGCGAGTGAAGTATCAGTACCATTACAGCCTCATCCTTTTAGTCTGCCTATATTAAATGTAGGGAAAGTAAGGGGCTTCTCCATAACCACAAAACTGAAATCTCAATTGTGGTCCATATCTACCCATTGTGCTCTATTCTGGGTCAGTGGAATTTTGACTTTCATTCAGAGCACAATGTTCTTATTCAGAGAAGCTCTTCACAAAGCGTTTCCAACCCAAATCATAAAATTAATATGAATGTAATTATCCACTACTAATAGACACATCCAGACATTTTAAAATATTAATGACTTTTGCTTTGTCAGAAATTTGTTCAGCAGCTAATTTCAAACTGCATCATTTTACTGTGTATCTGGTTAATATATGAAATATGATTGCAATTTCCCTATAAAATGATGATAATCTAAAAATCAAAGAATATTAATACATCTTTTTTTTCTTGGAATTAAATGCAGACTCTTTATACTTAGGAATATCCCTATCCCTTTTTTTTTGTTTGTTTGTTTGTTTATGAAAAAGAGTGTCAGTAAGTGTTAAGGCTGGGCTCACACTTGTGATTTTTCTGCCTCAGCTTTTCAGAACACTGATGTTAGAGGCTGTGTCACCCCCTAATAGCTACAGCTAGCATTTTTTTAAAAATACGGCCTTACGGGGTGGGAACTGGGGATGTAGTTCAATAGTAAGGCATTTCCCCAGTATGCCCTGGGTTTTGGCCTCTAGAAACACACACACACACACACATACACACACACACACACAACACAACACATACGCAAATTAAAAGAAAATAGAACTATCAGTGAAATCTACAAAGTGTACTTTCAGGCAGCATAAACTCCTGTCTCCAGAAGTCATAGACAACACTTTCACTGTTGCCTACCATTAAAAATACATTGCAAGGCCTCCCTATGGGTATTACATTGTAAAGCAAGCATCAGGTACGTAGATGAATAAATAGGTAAAATAGATAGGCAGGCAGGCAGACAGATACACAGATAGGAAGATTAAGGATGAGAAAATGAAGCATATTTAAAATATATGCATCAATTTTTTGTTTCCGCTGAGTAAACTGGATAAGCAAAAAAAGAAAAAGAAAAAAAAGGAAGAAAGAAAAGAAAGAAAGAAAGAAAGAAAGAAAAAAGAAAAGAAAGGAAGAAAGAAAAGAAATGAAAAAAGGGACAGCAACAACAAAAATAGTTGAATGGCTGTTATTATCTAAAGAAATAAAAACAGATTTGTTTTTTATCTCTTAGGTATAAATGAAGATAAAATTTTATGAATTTTTGCTACCTTGGAATTAATTTTTTAATGCACAAAACAATTTGGAATGAAATGGGATATATGTATTAAATAAAATTTTCCCTTAGGCTCCATATTCCTGAATATATTAACATAAAAATAATACAACAAATCTTTGGAAATTATTTCTATAACTCTCTTTTGGCACCTATGCAGCCAGTGAATATCACTAAGTTTAAGCACCATTATGTTTTGTTGTCTGGCTCTATTTTCTGTTATTTTGAGAAAGTCATACACCCTTTCCAACTCTCAGTTTATCTATGAAATGGAAATAAATGGAAATAAATGCCAATATTTTACAAGGTTATTACAAGAAGTAAACTTAAGAATTATAAGCACAAACACATAACACATTGTCTTTTATGCAAACACTCCAAATATATTCACTATTTCTGAATTTTTCCGTGTAACAAAAGAGAAGAGTTACTGGAAGGCAGAATTTCTCACATCTATGTTTCTGCAGTGAAAAAGAACCACAGGTTCTACATGCAAAGGTCACCTCTACCATTGCATTGTGCTTGATTGATTCATCTGCCTAGAATAGAAGCTCCCAGTAGGAGGTCAGGCCCAGAGAGAAGGTACCTTAGTTTTGCTCACTCATGCAGGAACTCAAAACAGATTTGTGGCATGGTAGAGTCTAAAATGCAGGGGACTGCAGGACTGATTAAAGGCACAAGCTCTGGGCAGACACCAGATGGAAATAATAGGTAAAGTTCCTTGTTGTGTCTAATTTTCACATTTCTTAGCAGTAAAATGGCACTATGACAGTACTTAATTTTTGAAGGTTATCATAGAATTTGAGAAGGTAATAGAATAAATGCACAATGGATATTTTCTGCTACATAGTAAATTTTGAAAATGGTAAGCTTACATTTTCATTATCACCAGAGGTTTGGTATTTCAGCATTCATGAATTCTTTTACCACTGTTTTTAAAAATGTGTGCTCACATGTCAGGATGTTAATTGACTGAGTAATTTCCTTCCTATTCTGCTCCACTGGAAAAGTGGTGCATCAACGGGAGGATGCTAGTTCTCAATTCTATTTGCCTGACCTATAAAAGTTCTGAAATGCTGAGATCTATATCTAATCAGTAGATCTGCAAAATATACAGTGAACACACCACAGTACCTGGTAACGAAGTCATAGCACCACTGCATTCTTGGCCTTCCAGAAATATGAGAGCCCTGGCTTCCTCAAAAGTTTCACTCCTGTTTATTTATCCAGTTTATAAACAATCATAAATGTAGTAAATACAAGTTATAAATGTGCCACTGCTTTTACATCCTTCCATGTCAGCATGGAAGTAATGTTATTACTCATACAATTGTCATCATTTGCCTGTATTTTTGAGTAGCACTTTGGGGTTTACCAAAGTTTTTTATAAGATTTTGCAGACTTGAAATACACACAAACACATTCACACATGCATGTAGGAGACACACTCAGTAAGATCATCTTGAAAATCACAAAGTTTCTGATGAGGCTTCTGATTTAGAAATCATAATCTCTTAGATACTTTTTTTGTCTACCATACAAAGATTACAGAAATGTACTGGTTTATTTTACACGCGGAAATAAAAATGTCCTGTTTAATTCTTGCTGTGTAGTTCAGCTGATCTTGAAGTCGTAGGGATCCTCCTGCCTCAGTTTCTCTAGTGCTGGGATTACAGGTGTGCACCACCATGTCAGGCTCTAGTGTCCGTTTAATTCTAAAAATAAATAAAAGCAGGAGTCTTCAAAGAAAAATTTTGTATGAAATGAGTCTATAATAATACTCTTTTATAATCACATTTGTATAAATTAAACATAGCAAACCTGAAAATTAAATTCCAATTAGAGACAAAATTAAGTTCAGTTGGACTTCAGTAACAACTACCAGTCTTTCAAAGTGCAGTGACTGTGTTCCAGTGTGGCCCTTCACACTCTGTGCTTATCTTTAATCCGTGCTTTCTCAGTACCTGGACTTCTGTTACAACTCATTACTGTGTTTTAGTAGTTTATGTGTTCGCTGAGCATAAAGTTTTCTGAGGTAGAAGATTCATTTTGTATCACAACATTAGAGAACTTGAATATTAAATTCTTGTTTAATTAGTAAATAAGTTAATGATTTTATCCTACTCAAACATAAATATTTAACTATGTTTACCAATGCAGTTTTATTTGATTATTCCAGGTACTGGTCCAATATGGCTGAACGAAGTATTCTGCTTTGGAAGAGAATCATCTATTGATCAGTGCAATATCAGGCAATGGGGTGTGAGATCCTGTACACACTCAGAAGATGCAGGAGTCACATGCGCTATATAATACATCATATTTTCACTCACATTTATAAAATTATTGCTGCAAGATAATGTTTCTTACTTTGCTCTATTGAAATTAGCTTAATTAATATATAAGGGATTAAAATTATTTGCTATAGGATGCATGGATAGTAACTTCCTACTTATATAAAGTACTATGAGGATAATTGTAATAAGTAATCTCAAAAATTTGTAATTGAGAAAAATCTACTGAGTTTAGTCCAATCTAGAAAAGAAGTTAATAATGTCAATACAATTTATGGGCTCACATTACTTTGGAGCAAAGAGTAGTATTAACTCCAAGAAGCATGATTTTTTTTTCTTTAAAAATGAAAACATTGAAACATAAGTTCAAAATAGGATAATAAGAAATTAGCAATGATTAATATACTATGTATTGTTATCTTCATGATTTTTTTAAAAGAGCTGCTAAGTCAAAGCACTGTTATACTATTACACTTGTCTGGTCATCTAGCATCAAATTAAACATAAAATGTAAGAACAGAAAAAAGAAAGGAAGAAGAGGAAGATGAAAAAAAGAAAATGAAGAAATACCATGGAGTTGACACTGAAATACTAAGCACTTTATCTCAATCACTCAGATAATTTTAAACAAGTACTTGCAGATTTTCCAACCACCATTGCGGTACAATGGTATTCAGTGGTCCCAGGTTCTTGCTATCTTATTCAAAAATTGGAGAAGACAATCAATGAAGTTGAAAATGCAACATTCAGTTAAAGTCAAGAAGAAGGAAAAAAAGGTGGGAAAAAAAAAAGAGAAGTGCAAAAAGATGTTAAAAAAAAAAAAGCAAAATATATGCCATGCACACCAGACAGGCTGCTGCAAAAGCAAAAGGGAAACAATCACAGTAAAGTCAGTTGCCGCTATCTTTTATATCCTTTTCTCATGTCAGATCTGGGCCACAATTTACAGGTTGTGCTCTGTTTTCCAGCCTTTTGACCATGCCCCAGTCTCCTTCCTCACCACAGGAAAATACTGTATTCAAGTGATGTGTTAACTGAGGCATGTGTCCATATGAAATCATATAGTAATATTTGTCTTAAGGGGAAAATGGAACAGTTGGAGCTTGAATTAATATATGTGTTGCCAGGTGTGCTGGCACATGCCTGTAATCCCTGCATTTGGAAGACTGAAGCAAGAGGAACACCTTCAGTTTGAGGCCAGCCTGGGCTACATAAGCAAGTTCAAGGCCAGGCTGCACTGCATAGTTAGACCCTGTCTCAAACAAAGAAACAAAAAGGCAGTAATGTTTATACTCAATCCAATCATGGTGAAAATTATGAAGATAATTGTATCTTGTTCTTCCATAGAAACACTGAAAAGCAAAAAGAAACTGTCAGAATCAACTTTCTTAAGACTCCAGAAAAAGTCAAACTTTTACAACAAATAAGGGAATATTAAGACAGTAAAAAGTCAACTTCAAAACTATAGGAAAGTTTTGTGACATTTTCACCTGTCACGGCTGCAGCAGTGATTTTTGGTCTTGAAGCAGTAACAGTCTATGTTCCCAACTTGTAAATATTGTACTTGGATCCAGAGGAAGCAGAGTTCTTAACAAAACATGTCTATTGTGGCTTCTTATGAAATATGTCTGAAGGAGTGATGCTAAGGCAGATCAGAGATAAAATGTGCCTAAACGGATGATTAGAACTTTCAATGATACAAACAGCCCACTGCAGCACATATGCCAGAGTGTTGCCACTGCTGATGTATTCATCTGTTTCACTTAGCTTGAAATTCAGGTTGTAAAAGCAGTGGGCATTGTCTAAAACTCTGCAAACAACCCTCAAGTTCCTGAATCAAATGGGTATAGTGGGAACATAACATAGACTGTATAGGATGGTGGTAAAAGCTGGGGAGAGTTTTCATAGGAAATTAGGATATTAAAAATGTATACAGAGACATTTAGAAAAGATGTGCATGCCCAGTGCAAAATACATGCATTGAAAAACACTGAGAATAACCTGTACTTTTACCCTAAGCTGATTTGCAGGGTTAGTGTAAGTCTGGCTAAAGGTTAAAGCAATGCCTATTATGGAAGCAACCTGAAATTCTGGGATTGGTGAGTTGTAATGGTTTGGAGGGTTGTTTTTGTTGTTGTTTGTTTGTTTTTGTAGGGGTTTTTTTGGTCTCTATTTTGTTAGGCAATCACAAGTTAAGGAATAGAAATCTCTGAGAATATCACAAATAAGAAACATCATTATGGAAATCCATTATTAAAAATTAGATTTTAGCTAGCACAATATATAAATTACAGGAAAAGAAAAATAATAGCTTTTGAGACTTGTCACATTATAATATTAAATGATATTTTCAACAAAAAATCATAAGGCATAAAGAAATAAGGAAGTATGACCTACTGAAAGAAACAAAAAACAGGCACTGAGGAAGTTCTCATGTTAAATTTACTACAAGATAACTGAAATTTTTGTATCTGAGACTCAAGAAGGAGAAAGAAGGAAAATTTGAAATACTCTTAGGGATCCACAGGACATCAAGTGGTCCAAATGTACATTACAGAGTCCCAGAAATAGAAGAGAGAAAAACAATGGAAGAAAGAACAACTGAAAAAATAGTGGGTAAAACTTCCAAACTTTGATGGAAGACATGCTCATACATGTCCAAAAATATGGCTAATTTTGAATAAGATAGTCAAAGAGACCTAAGCCAGGACATATTATAATCAAATTCTACAAGGATAGAAGTAACAAGAATCTTAAAATTACCAAGTGAGAAACTGCTCATTATAAACAGTTGATTACCTGTAAGATGAACATCACATTTCTCACCACAAAACATGGGGATAAAAGACATTTGGGTGATGTATTTAAATTCCTGAAAGAAAGAGAAAAAGAAAGAGAGAAAGAGAAAGAAAGAAAGAAAGAAAGAAAGAAAGAAAGAAAGAAAGAAAGAAAGAAAGAGAAAAAGAAAGCCTTATTAACAAAGAATTCTATTTGTGGCAAAACTATTCTTCAAAAATGAGAAGAAAGTTAAGAAATTTACAGATAAGCAAAAGTTGAGAGATACTATTGCCATGAGTCCTGTCTATGAGAAATTTTAAAGAGTGTCCTTCAAGTCTTTTTAATTTATTACTTTTAATAGTATATATTTTCAACACAAAATAATTATATTCATTATATACATAAAGCATCTTATTTTTTAAATTTTATTTTAAAGATAAAATATAAAAATTTCAAAACAAGATAGTAGGAGAGTAACAATGGTTAATACATTGTGTATTGTTTTCTTCAAAGTAGTTTCTTGAAGCACAAGATATTGGTATGAAAAATTGTCCAAATAATAGCACAAATATTTCTTTTCATTAAACTAAGAGAAATTAGCAGTATCTTAACTGTCTTGTATTTGTGTGTATTTTATTTCTTTTTCCTTCCTTCTTCACTCCTTTTCCCCAATTCCAGTTTCTCTCTCCATTTGAAGAACTTCTTCTCATTTCACAATATCAATTGTATAGTTTGGATCTTATTTGGATTTTACTCTTTCAGCTTTTCACACTAGGAACAAAATACAATGCTTGCACCTGTGAGTCTGATTTATTTCACTTATGAGTATGATCTCAAGCTATTCATTTACCTATAAAAGTCCCAAGTTTATTACTCATTATGGCTGAGTAGCACTCCGTTGCATAAATGATCAAATCTTTTTATCCATTCCGCAGATGATGGGCATTTGGTTGTTTCCAAGGTATAGATATTACAAATTGTTCTGCTATAAACATGGGTGCACATACATCACTATGATATGGTGTTCTTAATTATTCTGGAAAGATATCCAGGAGGGTAATAGCTAGGTCAAGTGGAACTTCTAGTCCTAGTTTTTGGAGGACTCTCCGTACTAATTTCTCTAGTAGTCTCATCAGTCTGTACTCCTACTAATAGTGGAGAAGGATTCCTTTTTCCCTACAGCCCCTCCAGCATTTGTTATTGGTTAATTTCTTGATTATAGCAATTCTTTCTGGAGTGAAATGTACTTTGAGTTTAAATGAAAGCTTACTAGACATTAACTCAATACAAATTGAGGAAATAAATGTCTCAGAATGAGGGAAGCACATGAGAAAATATAAAAGTAGCGTTATAGTTTTGTTTTACAGTTTCTCTTTTAATGCTCACATGATTTAAAAGATTATGATATTAAGATCACTATTCATCTATGAATAGTTAGCCCACAATTCATAAAAATGTGACCTATAACAATAGCATAGTGTTTTATATGTTACTGAATTTAGTGTCGTATCAATATAAATTAGATGTTATAAATTTAGGATATTAATTAATCTCCATACCAATCATAAACCATACATTAAAAAACAAAAGAAAATAAAATTATTTCCAGATCAAATAAATAGAAATAATAATGGAGGAAATGAATAACACACAGAATATACAGAAAATGATAGAATTTTTTATCACTATTATATTGAAAATAAAAGGATTAAGTTCTTCCATCAAAAGGCAATGATTGGCAGAATTGATTTAGAGTAAACAAGCTTGAGTCAATTGATTACATGTCTGAAGATAGGATAGACAATCTCAGCAGATCTATAAGATCAAAAGAGATTGAATTAGTAATTAAACACCTGAAAATAAATCACAGAACCCAATGGCTTCATTTATGAATCCTTCCTATGTTGAAATGAGCAATAATTTAAAGAACAAACAGTATTTTCAAATTCTTTTTTAAAAGTTAAAGATAAAACACTTCCTAACTGAAAATATGGGCCTAGCATTACTGATATCAGAATCATAAACACACACCACAAGAAATGAAAATAATAGAACAGTATTCTTTATTAATATACATATAAAAACAAACAACCAAAAATATACTATAAAATCAAAGCCAAAAGCATATTAAATGGATTATGCATTTTAAAGATGGCATTTATTCCAGGACTGCAAAAGTGATTTAATTGAAGAAAATCAATCAATGCAAAACACATTGTAGAATAAAGACCAAACAGCAAATGATTATCTCAATTGGCTCAGGCAAAGCATTTGAATAAAATGCTCAGAAAATTACAAATTGAGGGGGGGCAGGTAACATGATAATGAGTACTTATGAAAAGACTGTAGCTAATGTCATATTTTGTAATGAAAAACCAAAAACTTTTCTCAAAGATCAGGAACAAGAAATGGCTATGTGTTGACACCACTGTGACCCAACATTGTACTGGTCAAATTGGTCAAATCTGTTGTACAAGGAAAAGAAATAGAAAGCATCCAAAAGGAAAGGAAGAGATAAAATTATCATTATTTATTGATGACATGATAATATGTATAGAAAGTCTGATAGAATTTATAAGCATGTTACTAATAAATTCAGCAAAGTTTCAGGGTACAAGTTTTTCAATGTTATGTTTATTTGTATTTCTATAATGAACAACCAGTGATGATAATTAGTAAATGTGACAATCAGATGATTATCGTATAGCACACAAAGAATTACAACAAGCCAATTTCTCAAGGTAATAACTATCATAGTAAGGGCCACGGAAATGACTAAAAACAAATAATAAATTCTCTGCCTTATTAATAATCAGGTAAATGTTAATTAAAATGAGACAATGATTAAACAAGATATACTTATTGGATAAGCAAAATTAATATCTGCTAATATTACATGTTTGAAGAAATAAAGTGAACACAAACTATGTGTTTGCTTGAAGAGCTTCATATTGGTAAGGAAATATAGATCAGTAGTATGATTTTAGAGAGAAATTCACTACCCACTGACACTGATTAAGCACCTATCACATAATTCAGACTTTAGGCTTTTTGAAATATAATTTTTAAAAATTATCTCCCTATATGTACATAAAGTATCATCTATATCCTGTTCATATCAGCCTGTCATTAAATAAGGTATGAGTGTCATAAATTTTTATCAGTGACAAATGGATAAACATTGTTTCACTTTTACAATGGAATACTATACAAATAGACAAATATTCTTATATAAATCTTATAAAACAGGCAGAGATTCAGCAATAGCTCTAACATGACACATATACAGTTCTTTAGAATGACATATAAAATATGACTATACTTAAATAAACCAGTACTGCTTACGGATTCAAATATGTGCAGTAAATATACATGATCATATATTGAAACAATGTGACAGCCTCAAAATAATAGCCTGGAAAGGTAAGGAGAGAGTTGGAAAGGGCAGAGAGAGAGAGAGAGCCCTACATTTATCTATGGATATGTGCAGATATGAATATATCTATACTAAACCTATATTTTTCACATGTACATATTTATATATGAGAGATGGTATTAATATCTGTTCTAATATTAGAATGTTTGCTGTTATTTTATGTATATAGAATTTAAAATTTGTAATATTTAAAACTATGAACATGTTTGAATATATGCAATATTAAAACTAGGGCAAACCCAGAGGCTTAAAATTCTATAGAAAGATGCTTGTTTCTGTGTGTCCTCCAAGTGAGAAACAAAGATTTTACCTTGTAAATTAATTTTTAAATAAATCTCTCTCCCCTTTTTAGCTCTCTTCACCCATTATTTCTCTCTTCTCTCTCTTTCTCTCTCTCTGTCTCTCTGTCTCTCTCTCTCTCTCTCTCTCTCTCTCTCTCTCTCTCTCTGTCACACACACACACACACACACACACACACACACACACACACACACATACTGCCTTCTTGAGAAGATTGGTACACTGCACCCAATTTTTAGAATGCTGAAGTATTCAGAAAATAAATAGTCAAAAATAAATAAACAAAAGAAGAGAAAAGGAAAGGAAAAGAGAAAAGGAAAGAAAATACAAGAGAAAAAAGTAGGCAAGAGACTGTATCAGGTGAGGTCTGGTAGCTGGGCAGCACATTTTGGGAAGTGCAGGGTTCAAGAGTAAAATCTCATAGTAGGAAAAATGGAAAGAATGAGCCCCACGTAACAGATCACAGATCCAAATCAGTTGTCATAGTGATGAGAAGAGTGGAAGGCATAAACTCGGAGAGTTCAGCACAGAAGAAAGGGAAAAAGAGGAGCAGGGAAGAATGGAAGGAGGGAAGAAGGGAAGGACAATGGGAAAGAGACTGCGGAGGAGGATGGAGAGGAGAGGACTAGCACATGCGTTAAGCATCTCTTTAGTACATGCCAAATAATCTGAATTGGAAGGTAAATCAGATTTTGGTATTTTTAAGCATCTTACACAGAAGAAATGAGGCAAATTAATTGAAAAAGGCCGTTGTGACTATAATAGTATTAGACAATTGTTTTTGTCATAATATTCAAAATGCAAACTTTACTTTCTAGTTACTAAAAGTCTTTTTCCACATTGAAACTAGTAACGAATTTAATACATTTAAGAAAAGTTTTATTTTGTAAGAATTTCCTTCCAGTGTCAGAATATTCAGATTTGTAGGAGATCGCCACTCTGAAACTTAACTTTCATTCATAAATAAAAGCATAACAGGCATTTCCCGTGATAGAAAAACATGCTATTTGTCATGTTAAAGCAAAATTATAATATTTATTAAGCACAAATTGAGGAAATTATATCACACTGTGGTAATACACAATATATAATAGTCTCCATTTTTGGACTATGATACTTTTGAAGAAAATAAAAAATTAAACATTTCACTACCATTTGCTATGATCCTTGTGTTTGATCTACAAGAACAGTGTCAGTTCATGCAAAGACTGACTGATGCTTATTAGAAAGTCATGGAATATAGTCATTATATTGGGAAAGCGGGGGAGAATTACATAGCAGTTGTGGATCCCTTATGTGAAATTCTAGGGACCAGATTTGTTTAGGATTTGATTTTTAACTTACATTACATAATGAGATATCATGGGAATGTACCCCAAGCCTAAACACAAAATTCATTTATGTATCATACACATTTTACACACATTATTCTAAAGGAAACCTCACATGATATT